TAAATAAAAAGAGATAAAGAAGGTCTGTCAGATAAAGGTTGTAAAAGTTAAAACTTAAAGAAAAATGACATAGGCATAACTAAATAGGCTACAATTAAAGATAATAAATGCCTAAGGTTAAAATTCAATAACACTGAGATAGATACTAGTGCCCTAGTAACATTTACCAAACAAGAACAAAACCCCAAAACTCTTGGCTTTAGAGAACAAAGATTTTATCGGTTTACATAATGAACCATTTCAAGCTTGATGTTTAGATTTTATTCAGATGCTAAGTCTGTATGTTTTCCCCCAGTGGAAAGGCATTCAATAGCTTGGCAGTAAGAAAAATTCTACTGAAAGGAATTATTCTTACTTGTGCATTCCTGCTAAATCACATAATAGTAACTTATTTTAGTGAACAAATACTTAAGCTATTTATAAAATTTGGCCTATTATACAACATTTTTATTGTACCTACCATCCTCAATCATTTGGACTGGATGAGCAAACAAATCATAGGATAAAAAAGAAAATCAACTGGCAACATGAACTAAAGCCTTCAGCTTCTTTAGTCAAAGATACTTCCATTAGTTCTTTTAAATCTAAGATCTGCTATTTTGGAAAACATGCACTGGGAGTTTCATTAAAAAATTAAAAACTATATGAGCTATCTCTATTAAAGAGACATACACTTTTACAAGGGACTTTTAAACATGTTAAGTAAATTTTCAGAATTGATTACAGTGAGTGGAGAGAACAACCACCTAAACAAGAGCTAAGATCAGGTGATTTTATCAATTGAAAATTTTTTCTTAAAAAAGAAAACATCACATCAAAAACTTCCTTCAGCTGGGAGGAAAGGACTACATCAGGTACTGCTTGCTAACTGCCTCCTATGCTGCTAAATTTCAGAAGAGAAACTCTTAGATCTGTATTTCTCACCTCAAATTTATACCAGCTTCAAAGAACACATTCACACAGAGTTCAAGAAAATGAGGTGATACACATCTTTAGAAACTGAACTCCCCTTCTGACATTTCTATTACTCCCATTTCTAAAAATATTTCTTAAATCTGTATATTTAGGTATTATAAATATTGCTTGAAGTATTTGAAAATTTCCTTGGTATATACAAGTGATAAAAATAAAGCTTGGTTTTAGTGAAGCTACAAATGAGTATGTTATGTTCTTTCATTAATGTTTTTATTTATTTTCTTTTTTGAGACAGGGTCTCCCTATAGCCCCAGTTTGCCTGGAACTTGCTATGTAGACCAGGCTGCTCTGATCTCTCAGAGATCTGCCTGCCTCTGCCCTCCCAAGTGCTGGGATTAAAGGCATGCATGCAGCACCATACCCACTCATTGATGTTTTTGTTATGACTGTTTGCTCAGACTTCCTTACCTTCCTTGAACCAAATCTTCATGTATAAAAAGATGCAAGGGCTAAGGAAGTGGCTCAGTAGGTAAAGTGCTTGCTATACAAGCATGAGGACTTCAGTTTAGATCCCCAGCAATTACCTAAGAAGCTGGGTGAGGTGGTGCATATATTTACAATCCCAGCACTGGGGAATGGGAGGAGACAGGAGGACCCCTTGAAGCTTACTGGCCAGCCAGTCTAGCCAAATCAGTGAGCTACAGGTTCAGTAAGAGACACTGTCTCAAAAACTAACGTAGAGAGCAACTGAAAGACTCACAAGGACCTCTGGCCTCCACATACAACCATGTGTACATACACAAATATGTGTACACACATAAGCCACATATACACAAAGATTTAAGTTACTTTAAGGTAGCTAGAAGTGTATGCCAGAGGGCTTTATAAAGTCTTTGTTTTATCTTAGCATTTTTAATATCAAGTGAAACATAATGCAGTTGGTTGGATCCAACTAACTGTTTTTGTTTTTTTCAGAAAGAGTCTCCCTGTAGCCCCAGCTGGTCTGGAACTCAGTGATGTGGACCATGGTGGCTTCAATCTCCCAGAGATCTGCCGGTCTCTGCCTGAGTGCTGGAATTAAAGGTGTGTACCACCACAACTGGCCAATTTTTTAAAAAACTGAATAAAAAGAAGTCGATTTGGTTTTGATTCCTAAGAGTTTAGAATCAGGTTCCTTTTGGAAGATTTACGATAAGTCTGCCAAGTTAAGAACTAGATTTTTTAAAATCTAAATTACACTGAATATTTTATAAAGGTATTGATTCCCTTGGTTTGGTGGGCAGTTCATAGTTTATCCTGAGTTGGTTGTTACAATCCTATTTGGACATCTTTTGATTTCAGAGCATTTAGTAAACATTTTGTTTGTCTTCAGTAAGTACATATAGCTTCAGAACATAAACCAAAACCTTGGTTTAACTTTGTTTTCAGAATGTTTAGTTTGTCAACTTGCTAGAATTCAACTTTTTTTGCCACTCCTCCAATATCTAATTTAAAGAAGAAAATACTTGAAAAACTGTCATTTGGTATTCCAGCTGATTCTGCTTGATAATCATTAATTCAACTTCTAAATATTTTAAAATGGATAAATATGACTAAAGATAATCTGACTTTGTACTTCTCTAAATAGAGAACATTTAAAAAAATTTTATTTATTATTTTTATTTTATGTATATGAGTGTATTGCCTGCATGTATGTGAGTGCACCCGTGCTGTGCAATGCTGTGGAGGTCAGAAGAGGGCTTCGGATTCCCCTGGAACTGGAGTTAAGGATGGTTCGTAGCTGCCATGTGGGTGCTGAGAATTGAACCCGGGTCCTCTGCAAGAGCAGTCAGTGCTCTTAACCGCTGAGCCATCTCTCTAGCCTGAGATTTTTTTTTCACACTAACTTAGAAGTCCTAGACAACAGAATTAAAGGTCATAAATGTGAGGCCTACTTTAATTGAAATTTTAACAATATCTAAAGAAAAATATTATAAATTTATTAATTTACAAAAATTAAGATTTAAAACTACATCTAAGTTGGGTGTGGTGGTGCATGCCTTTAATCCCAGCACTCAGGTGGATCTCTGTGAGTTCAAGACTAGCCTGGTATACATAGTATGTTCCAGACCAGCTTGTAGCTACATGGCTATAGGAAGACCCTGTCTCAAAAAGACAAAAACAAAAACAAAAAACCAAAAAACACTCAGGAGACAGAGGCAGGCGGATCTTTCAAGGCCAGCCTGGTCTCCATAGTGAATCCAGGCTAGCTGTGGCTACAGAGAGACCCTGTCTCAAAGGAAGAAAAAAAAAAAAAAGCTTGACTCAAACAAACAAAAAGGGTGCTTTAACTTCTTAAATGGTAAGATAAGCTCTATATGTCTATCAGTAATTAGAACCTTACTTGTTATGTTTTGCTTTATTTTTTTATTTTGGCACTATTTTTATTCAATGGTTACCACCTCACACTTTGTTCTTTTTAGTCTAGTTCTTTTGTATTTTGCCATAGTCTCAATATATAACCATCAGTTTTCTTTTGTTTTTTAACAATCCAAAGGATCATATCAAGAACAAGTTACACAAACACGGCTATGGTTTTCTTGGTGCTTGTCCTTTCGGGGGCCACTGGTTGGTATTACCATGTTACTTTTGCTTAGACTTTGTATTTTATGTGTGGTTTTACCAGGCTAGTCTCAAATTCACAAAGATCCACCTGTCTCTGCCTCCACATCCAGCATTCCATCTTCAATATGAGGGTTGACTCACCTGCTCCTTCCTAAGGGTCCTTCCAGCCCCAATATCTATAGGTCTGTGATTTGACATAGTGACACCTAGTGTTAAGAAAACTTAGAAAATCTAGTAGCTCCTCTGGGGTGCTATGTGTTTGTTTACAGATGGTTTCTCACCCATAGACAGGCTGCTCTGGGCCTGGGGGACAACAACTTACTGCTAATGAGTGTAGGGTATTGGGATTAAAGGTGTGGGCCACTATAACTAGCTAGACTTTTCATCTTTAATCATGTAAAATTTGTGTTTTCTAGGATATGAAAATTTCAAAGGTAATTCATTAAGAAACAGCGATTCAAGCCAAACCCTACTATGAAAACTCCAAAGCCTTCTCTCTAACAAACACATAAAATGGAGAATTTGGCAGGGACTACACCCCTCATTAGCAGAAGTTACAGAGATAGATCATACTTTAGCTCCTCAGAAAGATTTTTGGGAACATAGCTTTCAGGGGGGAAATAGGTAGGAGAATAGGGTTGAAAGGGAGGTTCCAGAAGCATCAAGAATGACATACGAAAACCAAACAAACAATGGCAGAGAAGACTGGAAACTTCTCCAACTGTGGACTACATGTAACAAACCAGCATGCACCTTAAAAGCCCTGACATTTCCAATTGTCAGAAGGTGGGGGCTATGCAAATGACCTATAAAGGATTGAGACTCTTTGAGGCTTGACCTTTCCCAGTTCTCTGGCCCATTCTCATTCTCAGGAGTGCTTGTTGATTAATAAACTGTATTTCTGTCACCTGTGTGACCTTGGACTAATTTTTTGTCCTTGGATCAAGAACCCAGGAATCTTGGTACAATCCAGACTCTGAGCCATGTCAATAACATAAGCATGACCACAGTCCTCTTAGACTTATGTTTTGGCAAGTATTGTTCTTGCTATAAAAGTAGGTGTATAGTATGTATGGCACACACCTTTAATCCCAGCACTCCGGAGGCAGAGGCAGGCAGACTTCTCAAGATTGAGGCCAGCCTGTTCAACCAAGTTTCAGGCCAGTTGAGGCTACAGGGAGACCCTGACTCAAACAAACAAACAAACAAACAAACAAACAAATGTAGGTATAAATATTTGCCTTATGAAGAGCTGACATGTTAAAGGAAGGGGCTTTTAAAACTAAGGCCAGTAGGTGAAGGGAACATTTTTGGTTTTAAAAATGTACCAGGGCTATTTAAGGAACACTGGGAAAATGGCAAAAATGTTTTTTACCAATTTTGCATGAGAAAAGAAAAACCACTTTCTTTTGAACCCATAGCTCAAGATGCAATCAATAACTATGATATATGATCCTTCATTTTTTGATGGTAAAAATCAATTCAATTCCTTAGATATTCAAATCTAAATTAGAACCATCTGCCTCACAATGAGATTTTACTGCCATTACTTAGTATTTTAAGTTTTGGATGCTGGCAAGTTATAAGTCAGCACTATTTGAACCCATCTTTCTTTTCCTCAGAAAATGAAGGAGCAAATCTTTTTAGTAAGCTTTTTGCACAATAGTTATGACCATTTTTTTTTTTTTTTTTAAAGTCCTGACCACTTTACCTCTAGTTTACCTGACACACATCCCTGGGTATAACCATGGCTCCTCTGAGAACTGTAAAATACTATATAATGCAATTAGAATTTGATAACTTTCCCTGATAACTGCACTTAAATTATGCTAGGAGTATAGAATACAGGTAGGCTACACCACCAGTCAAATTTGCCAAACACAAAATAGTAGCAACTTAAAGATCAAAGAAAGCAGAACTGCCTTTAACTGGCTAGAGGGGCCACATCCCAGGTGCCCTGGGAGAGCCTCTGAAAGATGCTAGATGAACCATCTCTTTGACTAGCTATGGGCCACAGAGCCCAAGGCAAATCCTGGGAGATGACAAAATAGAAAACCCAGTGACAGGTCTGAGTTTGCTTATGAAACTCCAACTAGCACCAAGGCAAGAGAGTGAACTGCTATCTAGAATCTCACAGCCAGTTTTTTTTTTTTTTTAATCTTAGAAAAGCATTGTGAAGTTAATAGGATAATAATGTAAATCAAAGCTGACACAGCTAAATGCTGGCTCAGCTAACCATCTGGATATGGGGGTCTGCCAGTTCTTAATGACTGTGTTCATTATTTAATAAAATGCTTAAAAAGGTAGAGTTAACATGTAACCCTTGTCAAAAGAAAAAGAAAAAAAAAATTGCCCATGGCAAGCACAAACTGTTAACCTGTAAAGAAAAGCCCAATTTCTCTACTACTCTAGAATATAAATATACATTATATCCATTTCTTTATAAGCACTTTAAGATGAGGGCAAATGAGATAAAGTCAGGAGCTAAACACCTAACAGGCTGGTTCCTCATCTCTGTGGTTGTGTCACGTCTGCTGTGATGAGCATAGTGGCTTTAAATGTGCAAGTCTTTAGAAATTTCTTGGTCATCTTGCCAGGCCTATAGTAGGTGTTTTTTCTTTTCTTGGTGGAATAATTCATCAGTGCTTCCTCAGAGGTTCAAACATGATCACTGGCCAGATTCCAAAGAGAAACTGTGGAAACAAGTAAAGATGAAATGAGAAAAAAAGATTATTCCATGCCTGAAAAGAACTGAGGGGAAAAAAAAATCCCTAGGGCTCTGACTGTAGCAGATGGTAGGTTTGTTGGTAACTGTCCTGTATTAACCTGAGCATAGCATGGGCTTTCCAGACTTGCAGCAGATCTTAAAATCTACTTTCACTCAATTTATGTAAATGGATTAAGATTTTGCTTTTGTCATGCATAGAAGTAGATAGTTAATCTGTAATTCTTTTAAAAAAATTAATTACATGTATATGTGTGTGTACTTATGCATGAGAATGCAGTGCCCTTGGAGACCAGAAGAGGGCACAAATCTCCTGGAGCTGGAGTTATATATGGTTGTGAGATGCCCAGTGTGGGTACTAGGAACCAAACTTGGATCCTCTGCTCTGAGCCATCTCTCCAGCCCCTTAATCTGTAATTCTTAAAATAATTCTGTAATGTTGCTACTGACAACTCCATTCTATCGCTGAAGTAACTCAGGCTTAAAGAGATGTGTCCAAGATCATGTAGTAATAAATTGAAGATGAACACTCTGGATTTAATGTCTTTTTGTTCCGAAGTCTGTGCTGCCCCATTACTTCTCCATGCCCCCTTTTGTCTCTTACATTTATTTTGTCTTCTCAATACCCTATATTCCCTCACCACTTCGTAATGTAGACTTACCTTCACTTTTGGCCTGTATCTCAGGTAAAGTGTTCTTGTGTATAAACTGAAAGGAAAGCAGGAAAAATTCTTCAGACAAATCAACTCATAAACTGTAACCTCGAGACATTTATAGTTTAGTTTTGAAAATTCCAATAATGCCCGATGTGGTTTGTATCACAATTAGCTTTTCCATCTTTGAAAATGCAGTAGGTAAGCATTAAATAAAAGTATGAGAAACCCAGAAAGAGAATCAACAGAAAGCCTCTATAGTTTTATGTATAGTACCCTATTTAAATGTATTTGGATAGCAAAAAAACATATCATGACTATATATACAACACATAATATTATAGTATTTCAAATATGAATGTTAGGTCAAAAAGTGCCTACCAGTGAATTTATAAAATTTAATATGGCTATGCTACACTTTACTATGGTAAAACTGGACTTGCAGAGACTGGTAGTTTAGATGTTATTTGGACACTTGCTGGCTCTTAGATTTTGACTTACTAGTTCTTTTTAACCTTGTTAATTGTTAATACTTTAAAATATTTATCCAACTAAAAACTAAACAATTGCTTTTAGCAGTAAGTTAGCATAATCTAGGCTAACATTAATGTAAAATTAAGTCTTGATTGGGTGTAATGGCACTTACTGAGTACTCCCAGTACTCAGGAGGGGAAGGCAGAAAGACCATGAGTTTGAGGCCAACCTGGCCTCATTAGTGAGTTTCAAGCTAGCCTAATCTACATAGCAAGTCTATATCTGAAAAAAAAAAAAAACGCAAGTCCCATTCAATTTAATTATTTCAATAATCTATGGAGTATTTAACAGAATAAGAAACTGACAGTCAAGTACATAATTTGGTTTTTGTCTTCTAGGTAAAACAGTAGACAAGAATTGCTTCCATGTGACCTGGTTAAGGGGAAAAGTCAGCATAAGAATAAACTCTATCCCAGAGAGAAAAAGGAAGAGCTTTGGAAATGCACTAGAGTAGTGATAGAACAGTTGAAAAGTGCAAAATAGAAGGGGGATGCACCAAAAAGGAGCCTAGGCAAACACAATTCCAGTTGTGTGACTCCCTGGCATGGAAAGGAAGACACACAGGCGTGTGCATGAACACACACACACCAGGGAGTCTGAAGTTAACCTGCCACAAGCCCAGCATGAGAGACAACCCTGGAAGGCAGTCATGGAGAGTGGGAGTGTGGATACTGACAAGTACAGGTAACAGGAAGCTTGGCTCAGGCATTGCATAGAGAGAAAGCTAGCCTCCAGCCTCAGTGTACAGAACTGTACAGTGTTCATCAACTGGCATCTGGTAGTTCTGAGCCTGAGGTCAGAAGGTAGAACAACCTCTGGAACCACTTATCTGCTGTTCACTGCTGTAGAGAACTTTGAAGTTCAAATGGAATATCTGATATCACTACTGCATTCTTCCAGCAGGGTGATCAATACTTAGGGAATCTGGAAAGTATGAAGTCAGGTCTTCCACCTGTACAGATTCCAATGCTTTGGTTGCTTTCCTTGCTTGCAACATATTGGAGTAGTTAGGACATTAGCCACTCCAAGAGTTAAAATCTGGAGCGTCTTCAGAGAACCTGCCCGACCCACAGACTACAAAGCTAAGTATGGCCAGTAGAAACCCTTGGTGCATAAAGAAGCTGCTAAAGTGAAGACATTTCTAGTGGACCTCAGACTCTTGTCCAATACAGCTCAACATCAACATAAACCATAGCAAAGATGAGTGTGTATAAGTTCAGGTGGCCATCTTCCCACTTCATGCATATTACTAGTGGTCTTCAGTTTTTAAGGGACCAGAAAGAGGTTGCTCTATTGTTGCTTTTTTTCTTTCCTTGTTTTATTTTCTCTCGTGTATCTTCCATTTTACTTCACTTTTAGTAGTATTTTTACTTTATTGTATTAAAAAAAAAAGAGCATCAAGGTCAGCCTAGTCAATCTACATAGTAAGTTCCAGGCCACACAGAGCTACATAGTGAGACCTTGTCTCAAACAAAACAAAAACCACAAATGAAAAACAGCAAAACTGTTTTTACTCCTCTCTACCCACCCCGCAGAGTCTTATGTTATTTAAGTACTCACTATGTAGCTGAGGATGACCTTCAATTGCTGATCCTCTAGCTTCTACCTCCCAAGTGCTGGGATTACCGTTGGATGCCACCATGCCAGAGTTTTAAGTGGTGCTGGGATGGAACCCAAGGTTTTGTGAGTGACAGGTATGAAGGAGAAAAGTTCCCAGAAAAACCTTGCATCTTGAACTAGACTTCCTGTAAGGCTGACTAACTGATTAGTACTGCAATAACTGTCGAGTTTGGAATGGTGCAGATTCAAAGCCTATTCACAATTTATCTGGGGTCATGTTCTGCCATAAATAGCCACTCCTTGCCTACCAGTTTCTGAATTAACATGACTAATGCAATGTATTAACTTAATAAACAGTTCCACCAACCAAAAGGCTAAGTGCCATCAGATAGTATCTGAGGCCTATAGCTGAGGTTTCTCTTTTGCTGTATCTGCCAGTGTATTTGAAAAGTGTCTTGATTTATGAATTTTCTTTGTTCTGTTACTGTAAAAGCTTCATGAAACTGCTTCCAGGATGGAACATGGAATTTGGAGTAACCTGAATCTGTGTTCCTGGGCCATGGTCACTCATATTTGACTCCAGAATAAACTATTCTTAGCCCTGTTGAAGTGAGAGTTAGGTTTTTGAGTAGACAATAGGCAAGCACTCCCATCCCTCTCTTTTCCAAGTTTCCCTTTTATTCCTTCTACATAACTATATATTTTGACTTTATTATGGAAATAGAAGAGCACGTCAGATGCTAAAAGCCTTTGCAATGTGATGGTAATTAAGAACTCCAGAGCAGGAAAAGCCTGGAGATAGAAATGGGGAAATGAATGGGAATCTTCTCCTGCCCTCTGTGGTTATCTAGGGTAGGAAGTCTTTATTTTCCAAAGCTATCACATTCCTATAACCTTTACCCAATACATGTCTTTGTTTCCCAAGGCTTTCGCATTTGTTACATTTGCATTTCTATTACCTTTGTTATCTTAGTTAATTACCATGTATATGCTGTGTACCTTTTGCTTGTATTACTCACATGGGAGTATAAAAGCCCTCCAAAACTTGAACAAGGGGCTGACTTAGGATCCTTGGATGGGTCTGCTTGTGTAAAATTAAACTCCCTCTCCTCACCTGACTTTGGGTGTTGGTCTCTGATATTTTCGTAACATTTCTGGAGGCTCCAGCAAGACCAAATTGCCAAACCCCTCATTGGTAATAGAGGCTGCCACTTCTGGACCCTGCAGCCCCCTTGGCCCCTGGAACACAGAAATGCACACCCCCGAAAATTTTCTCTCTGGGGTCTCCTTCCAGGAGGCCAGAAAGAGCTGCATAGTCCTGGACCAGAGCCTCTCACCAGGTGAAGTGAGACTGAGACCCAGAATGGATGTCCAGACCAGTTAAGGGGCCCCCAGGTTAGACAGGTGAAAGCTGGCGCAGGCTGATCCACTGCAGGAGGCTGCATACAAAGTCTTGATGTGATTCCAAGATGGAACTGGCCTCCAGTCAGGAAAGGGGGCCACAACTAAACCTTGGATGTGATTCCAATGTGCTGGCCCTGTTTTAGGTAGAACAAGAATTTAGTGGGACTAACTAGGGAACAACTGTCTTAACCTTTGAATGATTATGTGTAAATGTGAGAGTGAAAGTAATGGTTCCACAGCTCTGCCTAGCCACTGAATCTGACTGGGCCTCATCCTGTGGTTCCACTGAGGTCGTGTAACAGGCACTCCTCTTCAGGTGAACCGGAGCACAGGGATTATACATGGAGCCCTAAGGTAAGACAACTTAAGTCACTGAGAGGTGGCCAGGCAGGGATGCATTTGAACAAGGGAGAGACTAGCACTCTCCACCCCATCCTGTACACACATTACATACATGCCAGGCACATAAATATTTTTAGAGGGTCCCTCCCATTCTGAGTGTCAGACCTAGACTGTTCTTCAGGTGATGCTGGATAAATTTAAACTAGGCCATAAAGGAGATTATGGCATTGAGATAAAACCCTCCAAATTAAAAACTTTCTGTGAAGTCTAGTGGCTTGATATCAAGTGATGCTAGGGAAGAATCCTGGAGTCTGGATGGAGGCTACTTGAACCCTAAAACTCAGCCTCATGCTTACCAAAAGAGGGAGAACCACCCGATAGCTATGAGGAAGTTATGGAGGAAGTGTTCTGCTCCCATACAGATGTAAAAGAGTGCTTACTTGCAAAGGACCATCCTAATCAAACTCCTTGATTATTGTATTTTGGGGACACCTAGTTTTCATGGAATTATGTCATATATGACTATGATAATTGTATTCAATGTGTTGAGATTTCATGTAATTATGGCATGTATGTCTTTAAATTTCTCATGTGTTGATCTCAGGTAATTCTGTCATGTGTGTCCGATAATGTCTTTACATGCTGTTTCTGTCAAAACAAACTGGCCACTTCAGTTTTTCTTTTCATTCTTTCATAGTGCACAAAATTATTGGCTTTATTTTGGCATACCCAATTAAAATACACGTGCAGATTTATAAATATGGATATTTTGATAGTACGTTCAAAGGCCTTATGAATTTGGGTACCCTAAACATCTTCAATTAGACAGTGTCTCTACGTCTGTTAAATGTTTCAAAGAAATTAAAAAAAAAACTATTTTATTGGCTGGGTGTGGTAGCACATACCTTTAGTCCCAGCACTGAGAGGCAGAGGCAGGCGGATCTCTGTGAGTTTGAGGCCACCCTGGTCTCCATAGTGAGTTCCAGACCAGCTGGGGCTGCAGGGAGACCCTGTCTCAAAAAGACAAAAAAAAAAAAAATTATTTTTATTTTATGTGTATGTGTTTATTGCCTGCCTGTAGGTAAGTGCACCCATGCCATGCAATGCCTGAGAAGGACAGAAGAGGCTGTCAGAATCCCTGGAACTGGAGTTATGGACAGTTGTTAGGTTAGGTGTCATGTGGGTGCTGGGATTCGAACCAGGGTCTTCTGCAAG